TCATAGTTAGGATCTATAAATAGGGATCATCCCTCATTGTTTTTCATGTCCAAGTATGATGAAATAGAAAAGAACGTTTGTTCGAAACCGTGTGTTAGAGTCGTGAGATTTGATCATGCAATCGAATTGGTGAGGCTAAGACCCGAGCCAGTTCAACGATTTAAAGAGGCTAAGACCCGATCTATTTCGAGAGTGAAGCGAGGCTAATAACTGAGTGAACTCAAGTATTGTGAGAGAGTTAGGCTAATAACCGAGTCGATCACACCTATCGTCGAGAGCAAGGCCGTGGCGAAGCCGTGATCGAGACAAGTCGAGGGAACACAACACCCGATCCGTCATCATTGGTGCTTTCATTGAGAGTGATTGATTGGGTGTTCGTGAACTTTTTCTATCCCATTCTTTTTCTTTTTTGGTCGATTTGGGGGTTCGAATTCTTCGAATTTTTACCCAAAATTTTCGAATATTTGTCTAAAAAAAAAAGTGTCATCTAGTCCTTTGTTTGATTTTTTTCGGATATTACCTTTTGTTGAGGGGCCGAAATTCTCTTGTTTTATTTTTTCTTTTTGGTTCGACTTTGTTCGAATTTTTTATAGAGTCTTAAAAAAAAAGAAGAGTCATGACGAATCGTGAGAGATTCGATGCACTTGAGGAAAGCGTGAGGTCCCTTGGCAACGGAGAACACGTGGTCAATGAAAACATGGCAAAGTTGGAGCTGATGATACACGACTTGGCGGGACAGCTCGAGAGAATCAACCACCATTCGCGGAGGAGCCGCACATCGAGATCAACCATGGCGGGAACGGGCAGTTCGACGTCTAGTCGCGATGACGATGACGAACAGTCGCGGGGAACGCGCGCGACACGCACTACCCGACACCATGGCGATCGCAGGATGCATGGCCATCGGCGTCATCGAGAGGAGCACGTACGTGCGAAACCGAAGATAATGATGCCAACGTTCGAAGGAGTCAATCCGGATGCTTGGTTAAGTCGTGCCGTGCAATTCTTCGAGATCAACGAGATACACAAATCTGAAAGAGTTCAAATTGCTGCCTACTACTTGGATGGGGAGGCCAACACATGGTGGCAATGGGTGTCACATGTTTATAAAAATAAAGGCGAGCAAATCAGATGGCGAGATTTTGAGAAGGAGCTGATTGCCAGGTTTGGATCTAGCGAATACTTTGATTATGATGAGGCGCTGACAAGGATCCGCCAAACCGGTAGTCTACGCGACTATCAAAAGGAGTTTGAGAGGATAGCAAGCCGGGTTCGGGATTAGCCCGAAAAGGCACTAGTAGGTGCGTTTGTAGGAGGCTTAAAGGCTGAATTGGCTGAAGAGGTACAATTGGATATGCCAAGGTCAACAAGGGCTGCCATGGAAGCGGCGCGACTGCACGAGGATCATCTCGCGGCAGTGCGCAGGGCCAGACCGAGCGAGGGGCGCGCGGACGTTTGGCGCGCGAGCGTCGTGGTCGACGATACGCCCCCACGGGCCGAGGTCAAGCCAACAGTCGGTGATGGTACACGCACCACTAGAAACTACCGACGATTGACGGAGGATGAGATACAAAGGCGAAGGGAGAAAGGCTTGTGCTTTACTTGCAACGAAAAAATTGCGCCAGGCCACAAGTGCAAGGGTAAGGAAATTTTTGTGTTGGATTGGAATTGTTTGGAGTGCTAGCCAAGCAGGATCAAGATCTAGTCAATTTAGGACTCTAGATATTTAGTTTCCTTCTTGCACAATA